GACTTCGTTTTAACTCCGTTTTTCATTATTTTAACGTGGGATTTTCACCCAAAACTTTATTTTATAAACTAAGGCCCCAAAATATATAAATCTCCAGGGTTTTTATAAAAATATATTAAAAGAATTAGTGGTTGAACTAATTATTGAGGGAATATTTGCTTTTCCTTAATTTATGGCAAAAGCAAACCACCACCACCTCACTCTATGATCAGCCACTCTTTCCCACTACCCTTGTCTCCTTAGTGGACCTTTACACCCAATCTCCAGCTCTTCCCACGTTCTAAGAGCTGGAGGATTGATCCTCTCTCCTCATTCTCCATAAAGTTCTTTCATTCTACACTTAGCAACCAAAGGACACTCTCCAAAATTCTCTCATCTTTTCTCTCAACTTCAAGAACTTCAAGGCTTTCTTCAGGGATTTCTTTCTTCAATTAGTAAGTATCTTCATCATTCATATAATTATTACACTCCATTCTACTCAAATCATTGATATCTTACACAAATTCCATCTTATTCGATGTTAGATTCTCGAATCATCAAGACATCTTCTTAGTGTTCTTGGGTTGAACACTTCCTCTCTCTCACTTTCATCTACTGAAACCACATAGGTGAGTTCATACCCCTACATTTACATGTTTTTCTTAAGTTTTAAGGGGGGAATACAAGTAAAATCATCAAGAACACAATTAAACTTTTTCTATCAGATTACATCAGAAAAGATGAACTTCGATCACGGACTGTTTTGGTCAACTTAAATATTTTAGTTTTCAAAACTGTTCCAGGTGCAAGTAGTTCAAACTCTTAGCTTTAAAATGGCTACTTGCACATCTCCATATGATTTTTCTACAATTTATGGTGATTTTTACAAAACTGCCTGTCATTTCAGAGGCAAACCCGGACCAGTCTGTGATTATGAACATTTTCACCTCTGTTAGAGATCACTAAAAATCATGATAAAATTTACGAACAAACTAGACTCATATTCCAAACTCTCAGAATTTGCGGATTTGGATTTAGAGCTTTGATGATTTTTCTATAAATTTTCTAAGAACAGTAACAGAAACTGTATTCAACGAAAAGTTGCTGTCAATTTCATTTCACCTTGTAACATGTTGAGCAAGGTGTATATCTTTATGTGATTATATGTTATTGCAATATATGACATTTTATCTTAATATTTAGACACACATCAGTTTACAAATGGATTTGGACATATAAAATATAAAGAATAACAAGTGATTATAATCAAAGTACAACCGATACATTCAAACATTTAATAAACTATTTTGAATATAGTTTGCATACATTACTACGTACTACCCTTGGTTGATAAACTATAATAGGTATAGTTTATGATACATTACATAACACATACATTTAAAAAGGGTACATTTATACAAAGGATATTTTCATTAAGCAAGGTACGGCCATACGGTACCAAGTTTTCATAACACGTAATTCCGTTAATGACTTTGTGAGACATTTACTTCAAATTACCATTAAGTCCTGTATTGTAACCAGAGTCTCCTTGAGGGAGAGCGTGATAGTTGTGTATAGATCTATATTGGGTTTGACAAACCCACACCTAAACTGCATGCAACAGTTAGACCGATAGGTCTGGGGTGACAAATGTCATAACATTTCCGACGCCTGAAGAACGTCGTTTTAGGCAACCTTGGTCATAGCATGGTTATAATAAACTCACACAAAGTATTAATAAATATTGGAATTTACGGGAACTTCATTAAAATTAACGAGTTTATGTCGATTTAAACTTACATTATTTATTATAAGTAAGAAAATTACTTATACATTTCGGTCTTTGAATTTAAGACTACATATACATTTTAAGGAAAATATTGGATTTTCTAAAACAAATACTACTTTTACAAACGAAAGGCTTTTAATAATACCAAACAAAAGCTTATGAACTCACCAACCTTTGTGTTGACACTTTTCCAAACAACTTGTATTCTCAGGAAATCATTAAACAGGTAACCAAGTGCTTTTGAGGATGGGACGCTAAGGCGTCTACTATTTCATATTTTGTCAACATATTGTAATTGATTCGTAAACATGTAATTCATACAATGATGTAACTTTTTCAATTATATATATGTTGGTTGTGTTTGCTTGAATTACTATTACAATTGTTGTTATGATACTATACATGAAGTCCTCCACCCCCGGACATTTCCGCCATCCTTGGTTTGGGGGTGTGACACTGGAACTTTATGATAAAGAGGGGCTGAAGGAGTCCAGATCTGAGGTTGCAACCTCAGATCTCGACCCAAATCGGAGAACCACTACAAAAACCCTAAAATCCCAACCCATAAATGAAGAGATCTAACTAAGAGAGAGTCAAGGTTAACAACTTGTTTACCCAAAAATGATGCCAAGACAGAGAAGAATCCGGATCTACAACAGCCCCTTGCTCCAACTTCTGAACTTAAGCTTTTTACTCCAAGGATCCCTCTTCCAGCTAAGGAGACACAATTATAGAGAGCAACCCGAATTAGGGTCTGGACTCAAGGGAGGCAGTAAGAGAGGCTAAGGGAAATAAGTGGTCATTAAATAGGTGCAAATCCCCGAAAAAATTTTGGGTTTCATCTGCCAGCTCCTACTGTCTAGTCCCTTCTTGGACTCGGCGAGTAGGTCACTAAAACTTCTGAACCAACCCGCTGCTACTCGATGAGTAGGGCAACAAACTCGTCGAGTAGGCCGTGAAATCAAGAAATTCTTATTTAAAATCAATACCTGAGAATCGGGGCGTTACATATATGTGATTTGTTTAACATATATATGCACCTATGTATGTTATAAATTTATAATTAAATATCTTTATGTTTAATAATTGAAGGAATTAAAATGATGCATCATCAAAACCCATTTTAGACGAATATATTAATAATAATAATAAATAATAATAATCCAAAATTCACTTTCCAAGTATCGTATTCATTTGAAATCACACTACAACTCAAGAGTTTTCTAATTTATGTATATTATTAGTTACAACTCAAGAGTTTTTAATTATGATTATTAATTAGTAATCACTAAACACTTTTATTTTCCTTTTCTTTTATTAGGTTGTAAAGTTTTGCTCATTAAAAAATTATGTATTTGAAGGATTTGTGATTTAAATATGAAAAGTATTAAATGTTCATTTTATACACAAGTCTTTTGTTACTTCTCTTTTCTTTAGTGATTTTATGTTATTAAAAGTTGTAGTGTTATTTTTACTATTTTTTATTATTCGTTTTATATATACCTATGTTTTTATCTATACAAATCCTGTTATATTCAGAGATGTTTTTTTATTTTTTACTAATTTAGTTCGAGTCATGTTGTAGTTCCAATCATATTTTTTGTCATACATTCCTGTGTACCATTATTCTAGAGATATCATACGTCGTTGATATATAATTTACACATGTTTAAACGGTTTTTATAAGATCTATTCATATCATTGTTCTATCACATGTAGAATGACTTCAATTAATTATACTATAGCTATTATCAGCATAAAATACTATATTATAAATGAAACAATTTTTCTTTCACCACATTCATTTGAAACTCCAAACTTTTCATATTTCCATACAATATGCTTAATTTATTAACTTAAATATGCTTTTAGTTGTAAAACTTATCATAAATGGAAGAATTTGTGAACTTATCAATATATTTACTTGATAATTTGATTAATTATGTAATATAACTACATTTATATATCAAATAAGCTTATTAATATTTAGTGTAAAATTTAAAACCTAAAGTAAAATATCAAAAAATGTTTAAAAAAATCAATATATATTTTTTAACATAGTTAAAAGGAAAACATTAAATAGAATAATAATAACAGAACCTAAATTGATGAATCGAATAACTAAAAGGTGTCTGAAAACTATATTCTAACAATATATTTTTAACCTGCGCCGCGCAACGCGCGTAAATTCGTCTAGTTACAACATAAAGGGGAGCACCACCACTCAAACTATTTAGATGAATTATGAGAACCCCTAAAAGTTTGTCAAGTAAAAACCATTAAGATACATCGCCAACTATAATTGCAGGGGATTGAACCATGTTGCTATAGAGTCTATTGTTCCTAGCCTTCCAGATTCGCCAAATAAGCCCATATAAAATGCCAAATAGCATTTTGCGTTTTTTGGGGCATTTTTCCAACGAGCACCAAAATCAAGCAAATCCGCCACATTTGTAAATTGCTTTTGAGGAATTTCACACCAGTTAAGAATCAATTTAGTGACCTCTGAAGCAAAAGAGAAACTCGTAAGCAAATGATTTGCTTATTCTTCACATGTATCACAAAGTTTGCAGGTCAAAAAGTCGGTATGAAGACCTCTCTTTGATAGAGCAACTCCAACCGGAATCTTCCCTAGCTTCGCTCTCCTTGTTATACCTTACTCGGCCTTTTGGGTTGTTTTAGATCGGACTATATGTCAATACAACTACATTTTATTCCATTTTTTATTACATTAGATGATTAAATACCATTATTTTCGTTCATGAGTACTAGTTGTATCATTTTGTTTCCCGTATAGCCATTTTTTCTTCATGGTTATCTAGTGTTTAAATATACAAACTTAATTTGTTTGGGGAAAATACATTGTTAAAAAAGAGAGTAGTCTAAAATCGTTACAATAAAAATACTCAATATTCTTAAAAGACGAAAAAAGAAGAGGAAAATAGCAAGTCGGAGGAGGTCCCAACCCCACTCACTCGATAATTGTGGGCTACTAAAACCAAAAAGTTCACAACGCACACTACCCTTGTCAATATTACCATTCTAATCTTTTAAACGTTCTACAAAATAATTATTTGTTTATTTATTAAAATATATTATAATGAAAATGACTCCAATAATTCCTTTTTTCCCTTCTTTAAAAGACCACAAATCTCACCTTTATATACAACCCTCCATCTCCACTCTCTTCTCTCACAGTCTCACTCACTTCCCCCACTCTCACCCCACCTATTTATTCCTCTTTTCCCCTTTTTATCCTTGGTATTGTTCCTACTACAAGAAGAAAGGAATGCATGGTGGTGGTGGCCGGTGGATGTCCGATGGCGGCGGCGGATGGCGGCGACGCAGGAGGAAGGTGGTTCTTCTCCACCTTTGAAAAATCACAAAACACAACAAAAAGAAAAGCTTTTGCAATATAACTTGTTCTTCTGTGTTTCTTGTTTTTCTTCATTTGTTTTTTAGAAAAAAAAACCAGAAAAAAAATGAAGAAGGGCCAAACAGGAAGAACAATATTGTATTGCATTTGCTTTGAGGGTATGAGGCCATCGGTCCGAATATTATTCACCTTTGTTACTTGAGTATAATTACATTTTTACCCTAGTTTATTTAGAAGATGATATGATATATGTACTTTATAACATGAGGATGTAAGAGAAGCATACCAGGTTGACTTTTAGTGGGTTCTTTTGTGGGGTCGAGTGACCTTTTGATGTTGTATAATCTGTCGTATAACGAATGTTTTTTTGTTATAGTACTGCTAGGTATGCATCACTTACAACGATCATGTAGTTGCTTTTGTTATGTATTGAAAATTCGTAATATTAAAAGATTTATGTCTTTCTTTCATCTCTTGATCTCTTGTGTTCGATATTTAACTTTTTTTTTTTTTTTTATAATATTTATTTAAATTGTGAAATGTTTATACGAATAAAGTCTAGAATGTGAAGAAGGGACGTGTAAGAGGATCTTCTTTTTTTGCTGTTTAAAGGAAAGAAAAAGGGAGAGGGAGCAGTGAAAGGACGTGTTGTGGTTATTTTTACAGAAAAGTAGACTTGACAATGCTTTTTTTACAGTCCCTGCCACACCCACTTTTTACAGCCCAACTGAGCATCGAGTCTTAGCGTACACACTGACCTAAATTGATACACTCTCACTTGCCATTTAATACTACTAGTACAATAGTCTAGCTTCCAAAGTTAATAAATTTTTGTATATATTATTAATTTATCATCCCCTAAATAATATTGTTATCTTCAAAGAATAAGTTTTGAACTAAATATGTATAAAAATCTAAAATTGGTTACTTTTACAAGTAATTATCCCTTAAATGATATTGTAAGTTTTGGCTTTTTCATATTTTGTAAATGAAGTATATCATGGTGACTTACAGTTCACCATGTTGTAGTATATTTATTAAAGTAAATATATGCATTTTAGTTGCAGATTATATAAAAATATTAAACAACAACATTTCATCACCACAAGGATGACGAAATTGTGGTCCTTCATATGCTAAATAAGTAAAAACGATCTAAATCTACAACAAAACCAAACTTCTTCTACCCAAGACGCACAATCCCATTCCACACTAACGCTTCCTGTAAATTTCTCACAACATTAATAACCATTTTTAAATAAAATCAAAAGTGGTAATTATTTATACATATATATATATATATATAAAAAAAAGTAAGCACCTTTTTCGCAGCCACAGCCTGTTCAAGTTTTTCTCTATTCTCCCGTTGACATTCACCACACCAGCCAGTTGTAAACTCCTTCATGTGTTTTCTCATCTCTCTAAACACAGCACTGTAACAAAATATAACTTTATCAAAATAAAAAAAAAACTTTTTTCCTAAAAAATAAAAAATAAAAATACCTTCTGCACCAAATCAATAAATTGACCCGATTTCCAGCTGTAGTGGGTCTAGCTCCATGTCGATGACGACCACGGTGAATAACCGCATGCCCTGGGACATGCGAGTATTCAAATATCTCCTGTAAATTAAATTTTAATTTAAATAAAATAAACATTATAAAAAATAAAAAATAAAAAGATAATTTCTTTTTCTTTTAATTTACCTCGGGTTGTGATTCGGTATGCATATGTTTCTCACAACGCACTCCTCTAAAAAACAACTCTCCACCAGCAAACAGTTTCCCCAAACAGACATTTAAAGTCACCTCTGAATCATCCACATGAAACCCTAATTCCACATCTCTATCAAATCCATATTCCACCACAAATCCATGATGAGAATCAAGTGCATATCCTCCCACATCAGCAAAGAAGACTGCATAAATTTCTTATTTATCAATCTTAGATAAACTACATTGCCTATATTGATTTTAAAAAAAAAAAAAAAAAAAAAATTACTTTTTGAGATGTGGCCAATGAAGTCTTGAATTAACTTTTCCAGCATTGGTTCCATTCCAAAGTCATCAAGAACAACACCAAATTTGTTCATGGTGTTTGGGCGTATGGTTGCTGATTTTGTTTCCAGAATCCACTTTTCGTAATTTTCAACCTATGAAATTAGAATGTGAGAAGAAAATATAAAAACTAAGGTATAAAAAATAGAAATAGAAGATTATTAATATCACCTCAGCTAGCATCTTTGCACAGAAATCTGAGTGGAGCATATCGAATGTGAAAACTCCTGGAACAGGTTCAGACATTATGTTTCTGATACTTTGATTTCTGCTGACATCATCATTAGCCATGAATGCGTTTATGAAAGAGGGCACAAAGAAGCTTGAGGGATTCAGTTCATATAATTCTCTGTAAAGAGGCTGAAAACCAAGGAAAAAGAAAATCAGTGATGCTGATTGTATAACATATAAAATATAAAATATATATCCGATATAGAATGTTAACTGTTTTAAGTGATTTCGGTTTAAAAAGGTAACGAAAATAAAAGTATAAATATTTCTATTTCATATCGTTACGTTTGCATGTGATACATTTTTTAATAAATTAACCTTTTTTCGGATTGTTTTTATAAGTTTAACATGTTTACCTGATAACTGGATATGATTCTTTCCCTGTATATGCTGTGCTTCTTCACCTGTTGAAAGTGATGAAAAAGAAGATTAGTAATTGAAATAGACTTTAACATATAAACTTCAAGTCAAGTAATATATTCACAATTAGGATTTTATGAAAACTTGACGATTAAGGAAGAATTTCTTACTGTATTTCATTCGTTATAATAGTCGATAATTAAAGAATTTTTCTATATAGGGAAGTATTATATTAATGATATAGAATAAGAATTCCAAATTATTGTAGGTTATTGAACTCATATGAAGAAACATGTGCTTAACAAATGTAATCCCCAACCTTTTAACATAGACTTGAATACAATCCCTCTATACATAAACATTTTGTCAAACTTTATGTGTAAAGCACTAATTGTGTTTGCTTCCTAAACAGAAAAACACAGGGAACATAGAAAGCACAGGTACCATGAGTTCCTAATGCCCAAATGTTGACAATATTTGGTTTTATTATCAACCTTTGCTTTATTTGAAATTTAATCGCAATAGTTTGATAAATCAGAATTTGTGCACAAGAAAAACTTTTGTGATGGTGAAAGAGAAGATAATAATGCACCGTTTTCTTCAATTATGAAAAGCATAGAACCAATTTACAAGATTCAGTAGTTTTGTTGACTTGAACTATAGAACATGAGTTACAAAAAGATCAAATATCCTGCAATTCAGTAATGATCCATCAAACTTAGAATCAAAGCGAAACAATAGATTTATAGACAGCATATTTCCCAGTTTTTTTGTTCATTTCTGTGCCCAAATATAGAATTTTTGTTGATCCAATTCCAATCCAAAATTTGATTTTTTTTTCCTAATTCAAACCTAAGTTCACTCATTCTATTAGCATGCATCATGATTTGGGCGATCCTAGATGACAGAAAGACGATCCATTAATTTCTACATGTGTATGTGAAATCGGCACCTAATGACTAACAAATCATGGTAAATTGCTCATTCATTTCCCTGCAAATCTCAAAAATACAAATTTATATATAGTTTATCCTAGTGTACGTGAGTACATGATAACAAATAGCGAAAATGGGATACTCACTCGACTACGCTCTCCTTCATTCGAATAACGACGCAGAATGTCCCGCATGTGCTTAAACTTCGCTTCTCGAGGAGCATTCAAGAGGTTCGGCGGCAGGTGTCGCTCCATTGAGCTAAAAAGCAGAGGACTGAACTCCGATCGAAGATCTTCGTAATTTTCCGGTTTGTGATCCTTTTTAGGACTCAATCGGAGACGGTAATTGGAGTTCACCGGTACTGGTACAGTTCCGTTAGCATCCATGTTGCCTGCGGGGATAGGGGTCGACGACAGAGCAGTCGGCGCAGAATCGGTTCTCCGATCAGCGCCACCATTAGCCGGCATCGTCATTGTTCGTGAAGATCGAAGAGAGAAAATTAAGGGTTCAATTTTGTGCAGACGACGGTGTATGCTTGTCGTGAGAGCTCATGAGTTTTGAGGTTTCCCCAGATATTTAAACACCTCAACTTTATTTGTTTTAAACTCTAGACCCTTACTTTTGTATATGTCATCTTTTAGCCCCTCATCTTTTTTGAAATGATCAAATTACCAATAATCCTAGTTACTCACTCTCTAATTCATGTTTCAAATTGTCTTTGAAAATATCACATTTTTTTGTAAGTTTTTTTTACTCTTGATTCTAATTCATTAAGTTCTTATGCGTCTTTATTAAGCAATACAATTGTTAGAAGTTAGAACTGAACATTATTATTGAATATTATATCAAAATCATATTTTTCTTATTCTAAAAGAATATTATAAAACTAAGTCTTTATAAATTAATAGAAAAGTACATACATGCCCTTCTTGGCTAATGCACGTAAACAATAAGTGTTAATTTAAGAAAACGTGAATACATCTAAATAACGGTTACAATATTCAAATGATGTTGTCCTTTGGTTTTTCTCATGTATATAGTCGAATCGACGTTTTAATAATGTTAGGATCATTTCACGCTTCGTCCCGTATTTTTTATTGCATGATAAAACAATGATAAATTCTTTTTGCATGCATGGTACGTTTATAGATGACGTGCAAGGTATGCTATGTTGTAGATCATCGCCTAAGTAATTGAACATATAATAAGTTCTACAAGCTCGTGCATGAAGTTCATAAAAGCGCATAAGCGTTAAGCACACGTCAACATGTTCTTATTCATTACAACTCTAATTTTACCCGTGATAAATCAATTTACTTTGGTAAGGAATCTATATAAACCTTTATACTTATAAAAGTTTAATTTCTTGCTTGATTTGTCACTTTTATATTCGATGCTTGTCGTACAAGATAACTTCATAACATGATGTTATCATATGATCTCACAAGAGTTATCATCAAGTTTGTTGTTTTAACATGATGTTATCATATGATCTCACAAGAGTTATCATCAAGTTTGTTGTTTTATTTCAAATTGTATAAGAACTTACAAAAAAAAAAGCTTTAATTTAGATACCAATAGTAATCACATATTATATCATGCTGGTTTACAAGAACAATCATTGTACTAATGTATAACACACATAATTTTAGCATTTTAATTAATAAATGTACTTAGTTAAAAAAAATTGGATATTATAAATGAAGTTTAAAATATTTGAATATAAGAGTTGATTTTTTGTAAGTATTGGAGTTAAGTTATTTAATTTTAATTAGATTTGGACCTTGTAAGAGTTGACTTTTTTAAACATTGGAGTTAAGTTATTTAATTTTAACTAGTTTTGGACCCATTTTGTGAGAACATATGATGTCGGGGTCAAACGAGAAACTAGAAGGCTTACGTTGTTAATAAATAAACAAATAAAGAACTGTAAAAATTGTCTTTATGGTTTCGCAAAATCTATGGATAACATCTAAAAAATTTATGACTTGCATGAAAGATTCAAAATCAAGAATATTATGTGGTTTTTGTCCTAAAACACTTAAAATGACTTTTTTTCCTTTAATTTCTTTTTCCATTTTTTATATTTTTTTATTACTTTCATAATTAAAGTAATAAAAAAGGCACACAAAACCAATCCCACATACCCCTCTCTCTCATCTCATCGTCTTCTACCTTCTTCCTTCTTCCTTTGTCCTAGAAAATCAAACAATACACACATATACACTCTTAAAACTGAACCCTATGCAAATCCATCATCTTAAATATAACATATGGAGGAAGAAGAAGAATTTAGGGTTCTTGAACCAATTGCAAATCCCTATTTAAAAAAACCCCAAACACCATTCTGAATCGATTAACTATGTTGATGGGTGTAACAAAATTATACGTGAAGAACAATGGATTCTCTGTGTAAGTCATTGAACAGGTGATTATGAAGGTTATGTGGGTATTTTTGAGCCTAGACTTGATGAATCGTTCTTAGATTCATTTGAATTTAATTTCACTATAGAACCATAGTGAAATTTATCTGTTCTATAGTGAAATTTATCATGATGTGATTCGAATATATATTTAAAGATTTTATGTTTAAAACATTGAATGAAATCCATCTAATGGGTCAAATCTGAAGCTGGTGCTTTAATGAAGCTTTTAGGATTCGATAATGATGAATCATCCTTTGATTCATTCCAAATCAATTTCGATTAATTAGAAAACAAAGTTCTATTAAGATTCGGAGGTGGATTTAAGTGATCTAAGTTCACATCATATAAGAGCAACTAAGTAAGTGATCACTTTTAGAGTTTTAAAAGCTTGATTTAATGACGGAGTTGATTACCTTATTAATTAATGATTTAATTAATTTAATGATGTTACAAGGATGATATTTCATGTTTAAGTTAAATTTTGAAACCATTATAATCCACATTAGTCATTAGAACCTGATTACACAGTGTCAAAAGAAAGTTATTAAGATGAGAGTTTTGGCATTTTTGCATGAAATATGCACGTTTGATCATTTACACTACCGGTATAAATTAATTTTTTTTCTTAATTTATACAATCTGTGTGATCCTATGACTTATTTTGGTGATTCTAAATCATCTACTCCTGGTCTCGATGCGTATTAGATTCTTCCATGGACACTATAAGGACATGTTATAAAGGTTTAAGGGTTATGAGTTAACAAAGTTTAGTAACCTTAATTAGATAATTATGGTTAATTAGTTTTAATGGATAAGATTAATTATATTGATATAGGTGATCTTTAACATTCATTACAACTAGTGAAGTCAAATAGAATATTACATACAAACTTGAGGTGGGTTCATTACCTTTTATGCCATTATAATTTTAACTTTTATTCATTGAGTTGTTATGTTGTATACTACTTCCTTGAAATACTATATGTAGAAACGTGTTTCATTCACAAATTTTTTACAAAAGTGTTTAGAAATAGGGCAACTATAAATCCTTCATACAAGTTTAAATTGTGATCATATACATCCATCATTAGGTGGGTTGAAACTTGTATGGTCTGGAAACTATGGATTTTGGAGTTTATGTATCCTTAAAAAGGCATTTCTTGTATGTTCATATCATTATAAGAACGATATTCTAGATTACATACATGCATAGTTTTTTTGTCAAAAAATGAACAATTAATAATCAGCCAAATTGTATGAGAGGCTGTGATGTTCGAGGTAAAACAAGTATGAAATGGTAGACAAGGTGACACAATGGTTTACAAGGAAAGCCATTGATCATTGCTAGGATCTCCGACACAAAACCTTGGGAGGTGATAATGATCACCTGCCTTGATGATTTTATTGATTAAAAATGTTGATTACAGAGAGAAATGTGTAAACGTAAGTACAAGTATCGTGTATGAGCTAATTGTGTGTCTAGTGTGTAATACAAGTGTTATTTATAGTCTAATGTAACGCCCGGTTCCTGGTATGTATTTTAATAAGAATTATTCATTTTTGCAAAGGGACTCGACGAGTTGGAGGCCTCAAACTCGTCGCGTATGAATGGGATATTTTTGGATGCGGCTTGAAGTCTACTCGACGAGTTGAGAAGCATCAACTCGATGAGTAGACCTGCCAGAGTGAAACCCTAATTTTCAGGGTTTACATCCTATTTAAGGACCTTAACACCCCCATTGTGGCCTCCCTCGTCGCCTCCCTTAGTCCAGAAAACCCTAATTCGAGATCTTGAGCTTTGTGAGTGTGTGTGTGTGTGAGTGAAAAAGGAGTGATTCTTTGGTATTTTCTTGAAGGAGTAGAAGCTAGAAGTGCTTGGTTGAGGGAAGGATCTTTGGATCCAGAAGAAGAACTTCATTTCCAGTTCATTTGAGGTGTAAAGTCTATACCTTGTCTATTTGTTTACTAGATCTCTTCATGGGGTAGTTTAGGGCCATATGGAGCATATTATGGAACCATTCATGGATGCAAACATGTTTTGGGGTAATAACTTTAGATCCAGAGTCTTTGAGGGACTCCATGGCATAAAGGTGCCAACTTTATGGCCATGGGAGTCCCATGCATCATATGGATCACTTTTTAGGGCTTTTTGAGCTAAATAACCCATGCATTCACGTAAAGTTAGAAACTTTACGTGATATATCGACCCTAGGGAGCCAGATCTACATTTTGGATGCTTTAAGCCCGACTAAAATCGACTGTATGGATTTAGACTATTGGGGACTCGACGAGTTGGTCATACAACTCGGCGAGTTGGGTCGTGGTTCCCCAACCTTTTCTGTTACTGAGCAAACTCGTTGAGTCTAGAAGATGACTCAACGAGTTGGCCATGGTTTGGGTTATGAATAATGAGGAACTCGGCGAGTGCAAGGAGGGACTCGGCGAGTTGCGGGTAAAAGGTCTTGACTATGCTTTGAGGATGAACTCGACGAGTTCATGAAAGGACTCTACGAGTAGGATCGGGATTTCAGGGTTTTATAGATTATGGAACTCGACGAGTTGATGGACCAACTCGGTGAATTGAGTCAACCAGGATGTTGACTTTGACCTTGACCATTGACCAGAGTTGACCCTTAAAGGGGATTATGAGTATGAAAGAGTAATTAAAGGAGATTATTATGTGTAGGAGTTTGAGAGGATTTGATCCCAGAGCCGAGGACAGTACAGCTACTTCACGACATCGAGGTGAGTTACTTTCCAATAGCAGTAGGTCTAAGGCCACAATGTCGGCCCACTAGTAGGAGTTGTGAGTTAGATGATTGTCTTCGTGATAATTGTCTGGTATTCCACTATCTGTTATGCTATATGTGTTAGTATGTTATGTTACTATGTGTTAGTGGTAGGGGTGAAATAGTCCCCGGTTACCGGTTGAAAGATACCGAAAAGGAGGCCAACACCCAATTATGCTAGGCAGTTACCGGTAGAAAGATATCGAAGGGGAGTCCAGCTCCCAGCCATGCTAGGCAGTTACCAGTTGAAAGATATCGAAGGGGAGTCCAGCTCCGAGTTATGCCAGACAGATACCGGTTGAAAGGTACCGAATGATAGGCATTGCGTGTTTATA